GCAGAGGCTTTAACCCACTGAGCCATCCAGGCGCCCCTAAACCTCATTTTAAATATATATTATATATTTATAATAAATACATATCACTATGTAATATTTGTGTATTTATAAAAACATATCAAATCATGCATAAATATGAACTTATGCTCTATTATTAATTTTATATATAAATTTTTGTGTGTGAAATATGTATTTATTACTTGCAAATATACTTTTGATAACAAAATTGGAATTCAGAACAGAAACATGCTTTACAAACAACTAGTTTAAACAAAACTTTTTTTAAAATATATATTTTTTAAGATTTTATTTATTTGTCAGAGAGCACAAGCAGGGGCGGGAGGGTGGGGTGGGAGTCCAGTCGCAGGCTTCTCGCTGAGCAGGGAGCCCAATGCGGGGCTCAATCCCAGGACCCTGTGATCATGACCTGAGCCAAAGGGAGACGCTTAGCCCACTGAGCCACCCAGGCATTCCTTAAAAAGTCTTCTTGATCTAAATAAACAAAAAAATCCTGCATTTTCTCAATAAAAACACTTATTTTGTGTTCTAAGTCTCAAGAAATTATGGCAGAAATAATTCAGAAGAAATAGTCCTCATTTGATATTACCATGACTATATTTTTTCCGGATTGTATATTAAGTTTATCTTTGTTCACTAAGCGTTAAGCATGAAAAGATCTTTGTGCTCTGTGTAAGAATGCTAAAAAAATGTAGATTTTCTCAAGAGATTTGAATAATAACTTTCATTATTGTTCAGAGGAAACTCTGGTATTTGCATATTTTTGATTTGTTTTAAATAAATTCATCATTGGAATTCTGATGTTTCACGTCTAGATTGCATAGAATTTTAAGTTTAGAAGCTATATACCAATAAAGTATAAAAAAAAGGTTAAGATTCTCATTTAAAATTTTTCAAAATTCTTAGCAATAACTTATGTTTTTAAAGATTTTATTTTTTAAAATTTATTTATTTGTCAGAGAGAGAGCACAACCAGGGAGAGCAGTGGGCATAGAGAGAAGCAGGCTCCCTCCCGAGCAAGGAGCCCAACTTGGGACTGGATCCCAGGATCCTGGGATCAAGACCTGAGTCCAAGGCAGACACTTAACGGACTGAGCCATCCAGGTATCCCAATAATTTATGCTTTTTAAAATATCAGGAAGCATATGAGAAAAGGAAAATAAGACATTCTTTGTACTATTGTAATCCAATTCATGAACTAGTTAGCACACTAAAGACAGAAGAAAATGACCCTTGTGAGATAATGCATTTTTCTAGTTAATAATTAATATTTTGTAATATGAGCTGACCAGGTCTACAGGCTCCTTTTTCTTTACCATTTCAGCAAGTGTCTTCAAATCTATTAAAATGTTATCTATCCTGGATGATCTATTGCCTCATCCAATGCTTGCCAATTTTTCAAAAACATTAAAATAAGTAGCTCTAGTTGGTAGTTTGCTTAGAAAAGCGTAATTCCTTATGTTCACTTAAATTCAATGTTTTCAAAACTTCTTCACAAAAGCTGTTAATTAATCCTGCCATGGGAGCCTCTGGGCTATACGATGAGTATAATTTTTCTTTAAAAATTACCAATTTCACTGACATATACCCCGGGATAGAGGTTTTAGTATCTCGCTGGTGAAATTAGTAATGCCTGTTCACCAACATGTTCTCTTTAGTGCACGGCTTGATCAAGTGCCAGCATGGAAGTCTGCATGACTGGTGATTTCTGAGTCTTCTCAAACTCATACATTTCCAGACATTTTTTCTTACTACATGGGTAAGGTGCTGTGTTGAGAGATTTTGATGACATTTAAATATGATTATACAGCAGTAATTAGAGGGTAAGAAAGAAATTGCAATGCCTCCCATTTCTTTGAAATTGTATAAACAGACGGCTTCTCGGCATGAAACCCCAACTAAAATTAGGGTTGTGCCAACACTTAAATGCATAAGCCCATTTCATTTGAGTAAACTAAATATTGAGTTTCATCTATCTTTTAGCACATTCTCAAGTAGCATCTTAATGAAATTAAACTGAATTCATTTATTGAATTCTATAACTTTAAAGCATAATCTACCACAAGCCAATCTGAGCCTCATTTATATTACTTACGTTAAATAAGTTTAAATCTATGAACATATTACACTACTAATCAAATACCATCATTGGTCACCTCTGAAGGGTATTAGGGAATCAACTCATTATTCTGAAAATTAATAAATAAAGGGAAAGAATTAAACCAATTTTCTGCCTTTCCATTAAGAAAGGACAACCAAACGGTTGATGAAGGAAACTTTCTCTTTATAGAAATAACTGAACAAATAAATAAAAAGGATTGACAATTAGAAAAACACCATTTGGCAATTCTATATTAGTTAATGGATTTAAGCAAAAATCAATGGCTTTAAACTTCACAAAAAGAGAAATGACTGAACATTGTGTGCCTCCTGATAGAAATACAACATCACCTGTGATACAATCCTTTGAATCTGAATCTGATCAACTTCTAGATCTATTAATCAATTTACAGAAAATACTAGAAATATAGGAAAGACAAAGTAATGTGTTACATGACAGCATGAGGTGCAATTAGCAAAATCCATACTCTGGATACTTAATAAACAAATAACTCAGTTTCTTGTACAAATAAATTGCAAGGGAAAACAGAGATGGATAAATTCAGACATAACATCATATAGTGTTTTTAGACATTTATTTTTACTATTTGTGTCCCAGAATCTTTCCTATCAACTCCCTAATAATTAAGATAGCAATATAATCTACCTTTCTAATTTTTAAGCTATAATTTCTAAGGTAACAATAACAACAATAATAAAATTCTCAAGCTAGAGAGCAGTTTCTTTTCCATTGAGGGAAGAGCAAAAGCAAGCCTGTAAAATCCTTTACATCCTCAGGTAGAGACAATCTTTCCATTCTTACCAAGGGTCCTGTATGAGTTTCCTGCAGCTGCCATAACAAAGTACCACAAACTGGGTGGTTAAAACAACAGATATTTCTTTTCTCTGAATTCTGGAGGCTGAATATCCAAACTCAAGGTGCCGATAGATTTGGGGTCTTCTGAGACCTCTCTCTTTGGCTTGCACATAGCTACTTTCTCATTAGGGCTTCACGTGATCTCTTCTCTCCCTGCGTGTGAACCCCTGGTATCTCTCAGTGTGGACAATCTAAGGACACCAGTCATGTTGGATTACCCTAACCCTTTATTTGAATTTAATTTGAATTTAATACAGTTACATTCTATAGTACTGGGAGTTAATGCTTCAACATGAATGGGGGAGGGAGAGGACACACAGTTCAATCTGTAACAAGGCCATTAAGAATCTCACCGTATTTACTCATAATTCCAATGCCATTATTAACTGCTTGAAATGGTTTGAAATTTAGAAAAACACTTTCATGTGGGCTCAAAAGCTAAAGCTCATGAAATTAATCACATAAGCTACACTTTGCAAAGTCTGTACCCAACATTACTCTTCGCTCCTTGACTCTCAGATTTTGTTTCTTCAGACCTGTGCACTCCAGTGCGGTAGCCACATGTGACCAGAGCGCACTTGAAATGCTCCAAACTCCGGTATGTTCTAAGTATAAGATACACTGGATTCCACAGACTTGGTAAGAAAAAAAAGTAAAATACCTCAGTAAGTTTCCTGATGATTGCGTATTGGAAGATTTTGGATAATTAATTTCATGTTTGTTCTTACTTTTCAAAATGATTACTAAAAAAGTTTAAAATTACATGTGTCTTTCATTATATTTCTATTGGATGGTGATTTCCAAAACATGGGTTTATCATTTGACCTAAGTCTTGCTTTGAGAGCTTTCTTACATTTCGAATTTAGAACTCTCCCCAACAATCCCTTTCCTTTTCTTACCCCTACACAGGTATAGAATTGTAGCATGATATCTAGTCCTTAACTTAATTTCAAACCTAAGGAACAGTGTCCCTCTTGTTAGGAAGACAACCTTTAAGGCTAACTTAATGAATTCAATCAAAATGTGTTGTATTGAAATCCTACGGGACAAGTAGTCCTGTTGTCTTTCAGCTTTCTCAGAAATGAAAGAAGTTGTAATTAATAGCAATTGACAAAGGTATTTATTTTTCACTTACCAGTAGTATTTAAAGTCTTATGTTCTAATTTTATGAAACACTAGAACTGGGATTATCAGGATTCCTAGAAATTTTGCAGTAATTATTTTATGTATTTACAACTGTTAGATCTTATGATGGAGTAGTTTGCTTTGCTTTAAAGTTGCTGTTGAGGGGCACTTGGCTGGGTCAGTCCATAAAGCATGTGACTCTTGATCTTGGGGTTTTAAGTTCCAGCCCCAGGTTGGCTGAAGATTACTTAAAAACAAATGAAGTTGCTGTTAAGCAGTGGAGAGGAAATGTAGATAGAAGTATTTCAGGGATCAGTAATTTATCACTCTTTTCAGGTACATAAAATCTAGTTAACATTCACATCTTTTTAAGGTATTTATTTCCCATTTTAAAAATAGCACTGTTGGGGGCGCCTGGGTGGCTCAGTGGGTTAAGCCGCTGCCTTCAGCTCAGGTCATGATCCCAGGTCCTGGGTTCGAGCCCCGCGTTGGGCTTTCTGCTCAGCAGGGAGCCTGCTTCCTCCTCTCTCTCTGCCTGCCTCTCTGCTTACTTGTGATTTCTCTCTGTCAAATAAATAAATAAAATCTTTATAAAAAAAAAATAGCACTATTGGATGTAATTTAAAGGAGTGCTGGAACTTGACTCCCCAGCAAGGACTGGAATCTTTACAGATTGAAAGCATGTTAAAATTCATGTTTGCTACACCCTGTTCTAAGCACTTTCATGACTGGGAAGTGGAAAGAGAAAAAAATGCTCAATATAGCAGTGAATGATTAAAGGAAAAATAAAAGCAAACAGCCCTGATACTAAACCATTTTTAAATTTTCAAAGCAAACTTAGTTATGTTAAACTACATCCCCTTTCCAAAGTATATGAATGCAAAAAGGACCCTTTCCCCAAATTTTTAATTGCAAAATTTTATTGTTTATATACATGAGAGGAAAATGTAGATACACTGCATTGTTTCTTAAACATATTATCAAGCCCTATCATTAAAATGTTTAGCTGACTTGTTAACATAGAACTCACCTTCAATGGATATAATTATATATCCTAAGAATAATGTCAAGCATACCTTCCAAATCCTTTAAGCTGAGTAAGTTATACTTACCATCAACACTTAAGATTTTAAGTTTTTCTCTAAAATTTGCATTTTAAAATTAAATTTGTAAAAAATCCTGTTTTAGCAAGCTTGATTATATCAATTGGAAAAACTTTATTTTACAAGCAATAGTAATTGAATCAAATGATAATTATAATCCAGAGGAAGTATTTTATAACCATAGCAAATGCCATTATACATACTGCCAATACAGATTTAATAGACAATACTGAACTGTACAAGAGTTATTTATTTTTCCTTAATCTCAAAGCTATTGTTAGTAATACAAAAAGCCATATTAACATTTTTCCATTAGAAAACAATGTGATGTACAAAACTTTGGATGAAAAGATATACGTCAAATTTCATTTAAGCACTTGGTGGAAAATCCACCACTCCATCAATACCACCCAAAGTGTTTTAGGCAATTAAAATCAAAATAATGCATCTTAATTCCAGCTGTTAAAAAAACAAGCCTAGCAATATAGTTGGCTACACAGTATTTTTGACTACTCACGAGTTAATTTTTAAAATCCATTTTTTTTTTTTTTTTTTTTTTGGGAGTCTTCCCACACAGTAGGCCCTATACTCAGCCAAGCAGGTATTTGAGAAAAAAGTTGGTGAGGTTGGAAAGACCCCATAAAGCAGTCCTTTGGTTACCAGATCTGACTTTTAACTTTCAAACATCCTTCAAGATCAATACTCCCTAACTAAAAGTACATTCTTTTCCAAATGCTATTTTTATTAGTGGAGAGGATATTTGGTAAGGAGAGGACATGAACTATTATTTATGATCCATTATTCCAATTAATAGCACATGTCAAAAGCTAATTTATTTTTCTAAGGAGTTTTAAGATTTGGTGCTTGTTACAAATGCGGTTCACTGACTCACCGTGAACCCTGCAAGACATACTGCTTAAAAACAGCAAGCAGGTGTGTGTATTTACCTTTGCATTTAATGAAGTAATGGTATTTGATACACACCTTTATCTTCAAATTCATTTCAGGATCCAGTGAAGAAAAAAAAATAAATCCAGTTATGGGGTGGTAAGAGCAAAGGTGAAAACTAGTAAGGATTATTACTATATAAGAAAAGTATTATTCTCTATCTTTTCCTTTGAGTAACAAGATACTAACACACTACTTTCATTTAAAAAAAACTGCAACTATTGAATTGAGGCAAGTACTGGAGGCCCATAAACTGACTGTGTTGCCCATTCGTCACCATTACTTCTCTACATAAGCTGTTTCCTAAGGTATAACACATAATCTAAGCAATATTTGGAAATTAGCCAAGCACTAAGCAATTACAATGGCAGGTAATACACCATCAGTTTTTGAAACACATTTGACCAGTTTTGTGGCCCATCTGCAGTTTGGATTAAATAGACTCTCACTCAAGTTTCTGGACTTGCATGACAAAAAAATGTATTTTATGAAATTTTCACATGACATTTAAAAAGTCGTCGGGTCATACCACTTTTGTATTAAATGATTCATTCTGAGATGCTACATAACTATGATAAAAATAATTGTTGACTTTTTAAGTGAAAACTCAAGGTCAATGCAAGTAAATGGTAACAGACATGGAATGTCGTAAGATCTTTCTGTATGTAATCTGACACTGCTGATTATGAATTTTCAGTTTGGAAACTTCAGATTAAAAACCACAAGAAAATTTGCTCTTGATGGCATGCAAGATGTTCTTCAAAATTACCCTCACGACCTAGAAGTCTCAGTATTTTGTCAGAACATAAATAAACACAACAGATTTGTACATTTTATTCACATTTATTTTTCGCTTTTAGTGTGCTCACAGAAAATTAGAACACCTTAAGCAGGAGTTTAATAGCAATTTTTGTAAGCAAAGTTACATTCCATCTCTAAGTCAAATTGGTCAAAGCTTCTCCAGTATTTACAAAACATGATAGACAAGATGCTACACAAAACCATTGCATCTGAAGATTTTTTTCCTTTATTCTCAAAGACGACTGGAAAAGAAAGCATTGTCTGCTGTAATCAAAAACATACCACAGTATAAACAGTAACCATTCCACTTATCACAGCTTGGTTGAGTTTAAAATTTGTGTTTAAAAGGTCCAAGATGACTGCAGTTTTACAAAAATGGGCAGGGTGGAAAGTTGCAAACTTCATGTGCTTCTGGATATCAAGATTTGTTTTTATACAATAGTCACAGTTAAAAACACCCTGCTGGTAATACATAATTACACTTTATTAAGGTCATAAACCAGCAATAAACAATAAAGCCTATACAACTTGTAGTTCTACTTAATCACTGACTGGTACAGCTAACATGAGATAAGTGAAAAGTTCCTATGGTTTAAATGAACTCCTAAGACTATGATCTTTTTTAAAATCTGGGTATTGGTGTTTTTTTTTTTTCCTCTCTTTCCTTCTTAATCAAGACTTGTAGTGTTGTAAACCTGCCTCACAAAATACATCGTAATAACTTTTCTTTAAAAAAACAAAAACAAAAACTAAGCCTTTACACCATCATTTCTAGTGGTACATTATTCTTGGCAATGTTACGCACCACTTCGATTTCCCCATCGTGGCCCCTATCACTTCATTTGCTATCCCTTTTGACCCACCCATCTCCTTCATATATGGGCATGTCCATAGATTGACAAAGAAAGTTTACATTTTCGAATAAAGATGCAAAGTATGCAAAAAACATTAATACTGATGCAAAAAATAAAAACAAAAGAGAAACAAGGCAGAGGAAGGTGTTTAAGCTCTCCTCGACCTGTTGGAATGGTGGTAACAGAATGATTTGAGATGGGATCTGTGGGGAAGGAGGGGGAACAAAATTTGCTGCTTTAAAAAAAAGTAAAATAAAAAAAGACATCTTTAAAATCAATCCCTGGTTGTAGACAAGTTCTCCAAAACCAGTACCTGGCACCACTCCAACAAACAAACGGGGGGAGAAAAGTTCTTCGATTATCTCAAAAATCGGGCCCTTTTACTCTGCCGCCTCCGCCGGGGGAGCTTCCGGACTGCACTCGGGCTGGGCCTCCTGTGAGGGGGCTGCGCAGGCTGACGAGGCTGACGCGGCCGCCGCCTCTTCCGCGGGCGCCGCCTCCTGCTCGGGGGGCGCACCGGGCCCGGCGGCTGAGGACGCCTCGCAGGCAGCGGCGCTGGCCCCGGCCTCCTCGACCTTCTCCTCGGCCTTGCTGGGCTCCTCGGGGGCCTTGGCCTCCTCGCTGGCGGGCGGCTTCTCGGGCGCGTCGGCGGCCTCCTCGGGCTTGGCCTCCTGCGGGTCGCTACCCGCCGCCACCTCCTCACCCGCCGCGGCTTCCTCGCCCGGCGCCGCCGCCTGCTCCCCGGACGCCGCGCCCGCCTCTGCGGCGGCTGGAGCGGCGCCCCCGGTGGCCTCGTCCTTGCCGCCTTCGGCGGAGGCGCCGGCTGCGCCCTCGGCCTCCCCGCCCTCTCCCGCTTCCTTCTTGTTCTTCTTGAAGGAGAAGCCGCTCAGCTTGAAAGACTTCTTGAAGGAAAAGCGCTTCTTTTTTTTTTTTCGGGGTCTCGTTGCTGGGCGAGGGCGTGGCCCCGTCCTCGGCCTTGGGCGAAGACGTCGAGGAGGCGGCCGACGCGGCCTCCCCCTCCGCGGCCGAGGGCGAGCCGGGCTCGGCGGCCTCGCCCTCCGCCGGCGCCTCCTTCTCCGCGGGGCTGGCCCCGGCCTCTGGGGCGGCAGCGGCCGGCTCCTCCTTCTCGGCCGCGGCGGGCGACGCCGCCCCGCTCCCGGCGGCCGCGGGCTCCTCCTTGTCAGCGGCCGGGGCGCTGCCGTTGGCCTGCAGCTCCTCCTTGGCGCCCGGCTCGGCGGCCGCGGGAGAGGCGTCGCCGTTTACCTTCACGTGGCCATTTTCCTGCGGGGCAGAGAAGGCGGGAGTATCACTGAAGCGGCCCGGGCGCCGCCATTGCCGCCCCCACCCCTGGGCGGGGAGGGACCAATTACCCTCCTTGAGGCCCTCAGGCTTTGGGAGTCCCTCCGGCTTTGGAAGTCCCTCCATCCCCTTCCGGGGGGAACCGGGGTTGCCTGCCTAGACAAGAGCTCTCCGAAGAAACGGAGCAGTGCAGTTGGGGCCGCCCCAGAGAACCAGCAATAGCCTCGACCACTCAACACATGCCCTTCGGATTTAGAAGTGCCGAGCCCCGGACCAGAAAGCAAGGGATGATAACCCATTCCTGCCTCCACCTCACGGGGTCTGCAAGAAGAGAGCCACGTAACACACGATACACACCAGACGCCCTTTGGGAGAAGGCACACAGCCAGAGCCCTACACAGCCCTCTTTTCCCTAAACCGTGAGAGGCTCTGCAAGACGCCGAGAACTCCCAGGGGCATCACAGCGCTCCAGCCAGAAGCGCCACGGCTGCGCGCGCAAAGACCCTGCGCGCCCCCCCCCCAAGGGCTTGGGGTCGCCAGGGGGCGCTGCGCCTCCACCGCCGGGAGCCGAGCGCGGGCGGGCCGGCGGAGGGGCGGGGCCGCCGGGCCACCCCGCCCTGCCCAGCCCGGCCCTGCCCGCCGGCCGAGGCGCCCCCGAGCCCGGATCGCTCAGCCCAGAGTCCACAAACAAAGCTCAGGTGGCTTCCAGTCGTTCTGGTCCGAGCAAAACCAACAAGGCTGGGGGAAACCCTTTATTTCCTAGGTCTTGCCTCGGCTTCCACGCCCACCTTCGCCTGCGATTCTGTGAAGCCAGGGCGCGCCACGGCGGCTCATTTTGCATTTTTAACGGGTTCAGAGTCTCTTGGCAGAGCTCGCCTTCCCCATTAGGTTAGAGTAGGCGAAGCTACACGGCCTCTACTCTAGGAAAAGAGGCGTGGTGGGTGCCCAGTGTTTGCGAAGCAGCCACCCATGGCCGACCTCTCGCGCCCACCCAACCGTGGCCATCTGCCTGGGTCCGGGCAGCTCTGGGGTGCCCCCCCCGCAGTGGTCCAGGCGCCGCCACGCACACGAACAATCCCGACCGAAATACACGAATTGCCTCTTACTGACCATCTGGACAGGTTCTCTTCAAGGACCCACCGAGTCTTCCCACCCCAGGGATACCATGTAGAAGTCGGATGGGTGTGTAATTCCACAGACAGCGGACGAATAAAGATTTAGAACAGTGGGAAAGCCCCACGGAAAGATACTGAAACCTTTCAGCCCAGCTCCAGCCAGCCGGCTACCTTTCCAAGAACCCGGGGCACGCCGCCTCACCATACAATAAGACAGCCTTTCTTTCCCTCCTTGCCTTTCTCCACCACCATTCCCATTCTCCCCCATCCTGCCCCCCCATCACACCAGCTCAGAAATGCTGAAAACGACCCAGTCTCGACAACAAACACGAGAGCCACCCGAACACCTTTGTGCTCACCAAACACAAATGCAACCTGACTGGGGGGGAGGGGGGTTAGCACCTAGCTAGTCACGTTCTGCCAAGCTCCAAACACGCCATTTTAGACAATTTATCACTTCTTTCCTCTTGTCTACGCAAGAATTTGCCAGGATTCTCCGAGAACCACTCCTCTGGGGTGGTGAAGACCCCCCCCCCCCACCTCCTATGAGAAATTGACAATTTAGGCTATCGCTTTCCATTCAACTTTCAGACTGGAATCTGGCCACGCTCCTCTCTACGCCGAATGCGCCTAGGGCGCGACCGGGAGGGGAGGAGAAGCGTGGGGACTGGAGAAAGACACCAACGAAATGACCACAAACACAGGTAGAATTTACCTGCCCATTCGCTTTGGAAGGCGACGAGGCCACAGCCGCCTCCCCGGGCCTCTCCGCGGTGGCTTCTCCCTTCGCAGCGGTCTTGGAGAACTGGGCACCCATGCTGGCTTCTTCAACAAAGAAACTCAACAGATCCAAGGGGGGAACAAAGAGCCTCCGGTTGGTGTAACGACGGGGCGAGCGGCAGCGGCAGCAGCAGCGGCGGCGGCAGCAGCGGCGGCGGCGGCAGCAGCACACACACCGGAGGGAGGGGGAGTGGGGGTGGTGAAGAGGACAGAACAGAACCGATTAAATACACTCCGGATAAAAAAATTTAAGTCGAAGAGATAAAAAAGCAGCAGCGCAGGAGGGAGGGAAAAAGGGAGGAAAAGTCGAGCACAAAAAAAGGAGCCCAAGTGTAGTTTAAAAAAAAAAAGAAGTAATAAAAAAATCCCAGATTTGTAGCCGCACTGTAGACAAGAGGAAAATGGAGAAATCTCCCTGGTTGCTAATAAGATGCGGGGTCCAACGCCCAAGTGCACAGATGAATGGGCTCGCGGGCGCTGACGCGGCCCCCGCGCGCGCCGGCCAATCCGCGCACCGCACACAAAGCAGGGGGCGGAGCCTGCGCGCCCGGCGAACAATGGAGCCGCGCTTTGCAAATGGTTTGAAAATCAGCCTCAGACCGAGAATTAATGTCCTCCAAATAAATAAATCAATTAAAAAATACATGCCTCTCGCCTCCCTCTGCTTGAAAATAATAATGCATCACTTGATTGGCTTGCTTTGTTTGGAATTAATTAACGCGGGAGGGGGGTACTTGTGGATGGGGGCGGAGAAAGCGTTAACTTGACTCGCTTTGACTCTTGTCGGTCTATATCCGTGTCTGTCTCTCTCCACTCGCTCCCCTCCCCCATCTTCCCTGTGTGTTTATGTGTATGTGTGTGTATGCGAGTGTTAAAGACAATGGTTGGGATTTGTATGCAGCATGTTTTCTTTCTCCGTGTTCCATACTGGTTTCACAGATACTCCACAGGGTTTGTTTTCTTAACGGTTGCAAATGTTAAATCGCTCCAAATTGAAAGTTATTTAAACCACGAAGATCGAATTTCATCAAACCACATCTCGAGTTAGAATTAGGTCTGTAGGCCAGATGTGGAAAATGCAAAAGCGGCAAGGAGCCTAAGCCACAGTCCCTACCCTATCCCACAGTGGCATGAAATAAAATATTTCGATATTGGCCTGCGACGTTCATCGAATTCCTCCCACCCCCGACTATTCCCAATGAGTGATTCCCCCCACCCCACAATATAAAGTGAGGGCCATGTACAAAAAATCATAACAGTTTGCATTTTATCACTATAAGAATGCCAATTTTCCTCTATGGTGAAACGAGACACAGCCTCTGAGTATACGAATCCATATATATGGTTAGGATGCAATTCGCGTAGATATGAATCGTTTTTCAGCCTATTGCCAGGATCGGACGGACTCTTTCCGAACATGTGTAAGTATGCATGCAAGCGAGTGTGCTCCTGGAAGGGAGGGAGGCAGCGGCGATGAAATTTTAAACAACCGGATTGACGACCACAGTTCTAAGGAGAAACTGCATGTTGAGAAATAGCAAGAAGATCCTCTGAACGCTCCAAGTCTAGCTGGGGTTGGAGAAAAAGCTTCCATAGGGGGACACAGAGTACCTCTATCGCACCCATTGCCAAGGAAGTACCAGACATTATTTGTGTGTGAAAGGCAAGGCACTGATTTAAAGAAGGGGAGGAGGCGGTAAAAAAAAAATCAAGGATACAGCCTAATAAACATTCTCCTACCGCCTACATTTTTACTCCCAAAGTTTTCTCTCGTTCCACATTAGACCCTTTTCTCGTTTACATTTAGTAATCCTGAAATGAATAATCTTTCGCTTATGGACGTGAGAAGCAGTCGAGAGAATGGTTCATTTCTCCTGGTGTTGACTCTGAATTCTCAAGC